CTTTTGATATACCCGGCAATTCGTTCTAGAAAGCTCGGATCAACTATCATATCAATCCCGCCTTAACTCATTCCATTCACTTATCCGTCCCCCTTTGCTTTCGTCTGCTCCTGAAGTCCTTCCAAGCACATATCCTGATCAGAAGGAAGCGCCGCACGATAATAACATCGCCACAGAAGAGCAGATATCTATCCCTTTTTTTTTAGCGCCTCCTTCCCCGACCGCTGGGAATCTCTTTTTCGCCGTCGATCAGCGGTCGCTTCTTCCGACGACGGCACCCATATCGAAATCCGAACAGTCATCTTTCCGTCTTTTCCATCGTGCTTGAGATGATGGCGACAGCGCTTGATCAACCCCTTTTCGAATCGGTCGCGGGTCCTGCGACGACCGCTGCCTCCATTACACCCCCTCATAGCGCCAACGGCAAAAAAGAAGTCCCGGATGGGGTTCCTTCTGAATTGTCGGATCTGGAACTCGATCCTAATGCTGCGGGTGCACCAGAGGCCGTATCGGTAGAGGAAGAAGAGGAAGACATCGAACCAGACCACTATTATGGCGGCGGCAAGATCCCTGTGTTCAAGCCAGTGAGTGCTGCCCTTGTCTAGTGCCACTGTGCTTTGATGATGTCACTGACGATGAGGCCTAGACCATGGACCAATTTAGAGACTTTCAATCTTTCATCAATAAAGTTGAGAAATATGGCATGCGGTCTGGAATTATTAAGGTTATTCCTCCCAAGGAATGGTATGTCTTCTCTACGGTGATGATCGCTTCAAGGGCCGTTGCCAACCAGTTCTTTCTCTAGGACCGACTCCCTGCCAGCCCTCGACGAAGCCGTCAAGAAGATTCGTGTGAAGAATCCGATCATGCAGGAATTCCACGGATCACATGGAACCTATACCCAGGCGAACATCGAGCGACAGAGGTCATACAACCTCCCTCAGTGGAAAGGATTGTGCGAAGAAAGTAGCCATCAGCCTCCTGCCCGCAGAGGTGAGAGGCGCCGCAACCAGGAGCGAGTCACTCGTACTGCCCCTTCCTCCCGAACCCAGACGACCCGATCTGATTCTCAAAAACGTCGCCCGGGGCCGGGACGTCCACCCAAACGGTCCAACCAGGTGAAGGTGAAAGAGGAGCCTGCAGAAGATACCCTTGATAAAATCAAGCCTGAAGGCCCTCCCACACCCGTGTCTCCGGAATCCAACCCTGTCGAGGCGAAGACGGAGGAGTTGAGCGACGGCGAGTCTCTCCCCGCCCCAAAGCCGAAAGGGCGACAACCTAAATCGGTCACCTCGCGAAGAAAACACAACAAAGGCGATGCAATTGACTACGTGGACGAGGAGGCTTTCAGGGACTTTGATTATCGCATCCATGACAACGAGGAATATACGCAGGAACGGTGTGAGGAATTAGAAACGGCTTACTGGAAGTCCTTGATGTTTAACAATCCAATGTATGGCGCGGATATGCCTGGCTCTCTTTTCGACGAGAATATCACAACTTCCTGGAACGTCGCCAAGTTACCCAATCTGTTGGATGTCTTGGGGCAGAAAGTACCTGGTGTCAACACCGCATACCTCTACCTGGGCATGTGGAAAGCTACTTTTGCCTGGCATTTGGAAGATGTTGACCTGTACAGCATCAACTATATCCATTTTGGTGCACCCAAACAGTGGTATAGCATTTCACAAGAAGATGCTCCTCGGTTTGAACAGGCTATGAAGAGTACGTTTACAGAGCTTGAAGGGCTCATGAATAAATGCTGACTATTACGCCAGGTATCTGGCCCAGCGACGCCAAGAATTGTGATCAGTTCCTCCGCCATAAGACCTACCTCGTTTCTCCTAGCCTCCTCAAATCTCAGTACGGTATCACCGTTAACAGACTTGTCCACTATGAGGGCGAGTTCGTGATTACATACCCATACGGATATCACTCGGGTTACAATCTTGGTTACAACTGTGCTGAGTCGGTCAACTTTGCGACCGAGAAGTGGTTGGATTACGGCCGTGTCGCCAAGAAGTGCCACTGCGAATCTGACAGTGTCTGGATTGATGTCGACGAGATTGAGCGTAAGCTGCGCGGTGAATCGACGCCAGAATACGACGGCGAATTCGAAAGTGACCTCGATGAATTCGAGGGTGCTTCCGACCTCCTTACCCCACCACGAAGTGTCCCAGAAAAGAGTAACCGTGGCCGGAAACGAAAACATGACGGTGATTCAACAAAGTCGAAACGCATGCGAGTCAATGTCGACGTCCCACGGAAGATTCCTTGCGTCCTGTGTCCCAACAACTTGGATTATGAGGACCTATTGCCCACCGAAGATGGGAAAAATCACGCCCATCGGCGCTGTGCCCTCTACACGGAAGAGACTAGCATCCTCCGTGACGAGACTGGCAAGGAGGTGGTGTGTGACATTGACAAGATCCCGAAGGCTCGCATGGGGCTCAAGTGCCTCTTCTGCCGCGAGGTGCGAGGGGCTTGTTTCCAGTGCAATTTCGGCAAATGCACGCGATCATACCATGCCACCTGTGCGCTTTTGGCCGGGGTCCAGGTGGAGCAGGGTGAGATTGCTGTGATCGCAGATGACGGTAATCATTACTCAATCCCCAGTGTGGACCTTAAATGCAAATATCACCGTCAGAAGAAACCAAGCTGGATGACAAGCGGCGATTCTCCTGATTTTGACCGCAAGCTCATCGAGACGGCTCAACGCATGGTGGCAGGGGATTTGGTGCAATTCCAGGCTGACAAGGAGATCAATGGGGCAGTGGTGCTGGAGAATCGACCAGCGGAACGGACACTGCTGGTAAAAGTGCTCCCACGAGGGTAAGTTTATTTTTTTTCACACTTGTTTTGTTGTCGTGTTTGGAATTTTCCTGATTTGGAAATCCTGACGCTGACCCCTGGTTCACCATTTAGAGATGTAATTGAGTTACCGTACCGGTGGATGCTTGTGGTACGGCGGAGCAACTTCTCGCCTCTGGCACCAGGAACAAAACCACTCCCTGCCCACTTAGCCCGAAAACCCGAGGGCCGGAAAGAGTTGGAATCGGCCCTGCCGGTGGTTGGCAATCCATTTGGCGATGGGCGATCTCCGTATCAGTGGGCCGAGTTCGAGACGGTCGACACGACTAATCACCGCTTTGCCCCACCACTGGTGCAGGTGAACTTGGACAAAGGTGACCAGATTTGGTATTATTTGGGCCAGTCATCGACCGAATGTAGGGCTCAATATACGCACAACCCTAGCGTGCCCGTCCACAACCCGCGCTCGAATTTCCTGGACAGCGTGAAGTCCCTTGGCGCCGTGATGGCCCGGCTCCCCTCTTACCCCCACCGCCATCTTGCTCAGTATGCTGCTGCCCCTCCTCACCACCTTTCACCTGCTGCTGCTGCCGCCACCGCCGCCGCTGCTGCCTCCCGCCCTTCCCTGTTGCAGCGACCTAGTAGTACTCTTGCCCCTCCTCCTCGCACTCCTTCCTCTGCTGCTCCTCCTGCTAGTACTGCGATGCCGTCTGCCTATCGTTCCCTTCCCACTCAATCTGCCCGCCATGCTCCGTACCCTCAGATCGCCAAGACTCATCATCAATCACACCACCTCTCTCAGCAGCAACGCAGTCCGCAACAACAACAAAAGGAGCAGCAGCAGCAGCAGCACAGCCACCATCTCCCCGCGAATACCTTTGCCAATGTTCGGGAACTTATTGCTCGTCGCCGCTTGGCCCAGATCACCGACCATGCCAATGTCTTCGCCGGGTATACGATCGTCAGCCCGGAGCTAGTCGTTGAGACGCTCCTGGGTCCCATGGGCTCCGTGCCGCCGCCTAGTGGCCTCGAGAAGCTGGAACTCGCCATGGCCCAACAACGGGTCCAACCTCGAGCCCCCGACGGAACCTTGTTACCCTTGCAGCCACTTAATATGCGTTCCGAAGAGGTGACCCGATTGTTGCAGATGCTCCGGTTTTCCCTTGTCAGTCACCGCGATCGGCTCGATGTGCTTCAGAAGAAGGAGACGGAAAATAATAGGCAGGAGAGTGCTCAGAAGGGCGGTGTTGCAGCTGTCAAGTTACCTCGCAAGTTTGCATACCTGGAGCAGCAGCGTGAACAGTCGCCGACCGTCTATCAGTCCCCGTACGACATGCCTTCTGGTTTTACCGAATATGCCCAGAAGACGTTCGGGTTGACTCCTTGCGAGCCAGAGCTCCCTAAATCCTCCCTGGCCAACGACTTCTTCGCCAGTCTTTCCCCAGAGGACCAGGAAAAGATTCTGAAGACCTGTGGCAGTTTTGTACAACGGGCCATTGAACGTTCCACAAGTCACAGCCGTCAGAGCTCCGCATCCAACCTCCGACTCGCATCGGCACTAGCCCAGCAAACTGAGAACCCAACGATAGACATAACAACAGTCGAGGACATGCCATTGTCAGGTCTGGATTTCCCGCTACACGCGGACTCACCGTGCTCCAGTTTCAGTCGGACGCACCTGCGCTTCCAATCACCGAACGATTTCAACGCTCACGGACCAGAAACGCATCACGACCATCATGACCTCTTTGGCGACCAGCAGGCCAACACACGGTTTTGGCAGCATGGGCCCTGGGCTGCAGGCGATGGAAACACGCCTAACGAAGAAACACGGCCATTTTTTGGACCTCACGAACGGTTGAAGCACGATTATGCCTCATCTGACATCTCCTTGGGTCGAGGTCCCGGCTCTTTGCATTCTGTCGACATGGCTGGGTTTGGAATGGACGCCACGGACGATCTCTGTAACGTTCTTAGTCCTTGAATCGGACGACTCCCATCGACTTTGTGTATTTGCATGCCGGTATAACAGCATCATCTCCATGTAATGATTTGATTGACGACTGCATGACTGGGCGTTTTGAGCTTTTGTGTTTTTTTTTTTTTTCATTTCTGATTTTTACCTTTTGTGACCCCCCTTGGATCTTACTATTTCACGACGGAGTTTCACGATAGCTGGCTGGTTACGACTCAGCTAAGACCTTGCGACGAGGCCGTGCTCATATTACCTATTTATCTCCTACTTGACGGTGAAGGCGGCCGATGTACAAGCTAACGGAGGTCGAGAATCCTTCCAAAGTGGCGGTGGGAAGCGCTCGCCAGGTGGCCGGGCCGTTGTTGATGCCCAGACTGGTCCACTACCCGCCCAAGGAGACCCGCTCGGCCTGTTATTGATGATACCTCCCATCATTTCCCCTCCTTCCTCACTTCCTCACGTCCCCCCTCTGTCCTGTTTTCTTTATTTACTATGTCCCTGTCTGCTCCCTGTTTGCTCTTCCCCTGTGGAATTTCGGGACTTCGACTTTCCATCGAAGATACTGGGCCTACTTTCGCCCTGGACTGCGGACCTCACGTATGCTGGAGATTCAAAAGAAGCAAAAAAAGAGAAAAAAAGCCATATTTCAAAATCCCCGAGCAAGTCCTGTTTCCATAATCATATACACGTCATGCCCCTTTGTTTGATACCCCCCCCGAATTCCTAGTGTTTCACCACGCTCGGATGTTTCCATATCCCTCAACGGTTCCCTCCCATTCCTTTCGTTTCCAGACATCCCCTCACCTTTTCTTCTCTTCTTCCCTGGCGCTCATCCTTGTCTTTGCCCCGACCATGGTCTCGTTAGGACTGAAGGTTCAGTGCTCCATGAACTGATGGACGGCACTCTGTTCTCGCGAGTGAGAACAGTGGACAGGACAGGTAAACGGATGTGGCAGCCGTCACTTTCTCAGTGACACTCGCAGATACATGTATGTTGGAATGATAGCTGTGAATGGAATGTTCAACAAATATATATACCCGTGTGCCAGAGTGTAGTGACTTTCCCGAGGTCGTAGAGTTGGGCCAAACGAGTTCGTTGATATCAGCAGTCAATTGAAGGGACCGTGTGGTACCAGTGGCGGACCATTTCTGAACCACCATTGGATTTGCATCCCCCGCATTTCGGGAGGCAAGTGTGGTTCCGTTGGGGTTGCACTCCACCGCATGGACCACAGGACGCTGGTTCCTTAGCTTTGTCCGAAACACGAGGGGATCCTCTCTGTCCTCAATCGCTATCCTCTGTCGTCACTTGGTCCAGACTCTACGTAGGTACCCATACGCGGTACACAGAAAGAGATCAAGCCGGACGCTCGATGTTAGGGTTATCAGATGTCAATTAAAGTTCCCGTCCGTCATATGTCTGGACGGTGATGTATCCTTGCAGACGGAGGAATGTTACATTATGCAGACACATGTCATGCAGTCCCGCGGCAGCCCAAGGAGGTACTACATACATGTATTGTAGAAATCGGTTTGATGTTCGGGTCTGACGTCGGGGTTAGGTTCCCCTTTACCTTTCTCTCTCGTCTCGATGGAGATAGGCAAACAAAGAATCCGAGGGGGGTGAGACTTTTCTCCTGTCGACTACGACTCTTCATGGTGGTATCTGGCCATCCGCCCATCCGCCCCGTCAAGATAAGCCCAAAGGATAGGGCTTAGTCGGTCGAATGATAATCTCGTGCTGAACGCTTTATAAATCCCATGGTTATCAGCGCGGTCTCGGACCGCCCATCATTAGTCCGACACCGGATTGGCTTATCGGTCGATCCAACCAGTTTTAGGCTTCCGTGAGGGGACATCCAAGACGCCAAGTGGAGTTCTTTAAGGTTCCTGGCCTCGTGTAGTACCCCGGACTCTTGGTGATGCAAGCCGGCCACTGATGCTATACGGACGACTACTTATATTCCTCCGCTCCCCGGCCCTCGCCTGGCCTGGGTAGTCGAGGTCGCCAGTGCTAGTAGGAGCTGGTCTGACTACTACCGTACTGCCATATCTATAACCCTATTGCCCCCTTTCGGGATGACTCTGGATTCCTTCCATATCTGCCCCGTATTTCAGAGCTCTTAATTCCTACAACCATGCGTCAAGGCTCCGCCGATGCCAACGCCGATGCGGCGTTGGCCAGGATGGGCTACAAGAGTGAATTGCCGCGCAACTTGAGTATGCTGAGTATCCTCGGACTGTATGTGATCACCGGAGGGTACTCTGAATATGTTTCTCTGCGATCAATACCAACTAACACGATTTCTCAGCTCCTTCGCCATCATGGCCGCCCCTTTTGGGCTCAGTACCACCCTGTACATCACGCTCACCGACGGCCAATGCGTTAGCATCATCTGGGGCTGGGTCCTCGTCACCTTAATCTCCATCGGTATCGCCGCCTCCCTCGCCGAAATCTGCGCCGTGTACCCGACCGCCGGAGGTGTCTACTACTGGAGCGCCATGCTGTCGACGAAGGAATGGGCCCCGATGATGTCGTTCGTGGATGGCTGGTTGACACTGGTGGGAAACTGGACGGTCACCCTGAGCATCACCTTCTCCGGGGGACAGCTGATTCTGAGTGCCATCTCGCTGTGGAAGGAAGATTTCGTGGCCAATGCCTGGCAGACGATCCTCATGTTTTGGGCGGTGATTTGGTTCTGTGCGATGGTCAATATCTTCTTCTCCCGATGGCTGGATATTATCAATAAAGTGTGCATCTTTTGGACAGCGGCGAGTGTGGTCATCATCTTGGTTACGCTTCTGACCATGGCGGACCATCGCAACGACGGTGCGTATGTCTTTGGTCATTATGATGCATCGCAGAGCGGATGGTAGGCGTTCTCCCCCCCTTTTTTGTTGGCTCTGGACTTTGGAAGTCATCCTGACGACTTCACAGGCCATCGGGATGGGCTTTCTTCGTCGGCCTCCTTCAGGCTGCCTATACCCTCACGGGGTACGGCATGGTAGCCGCCATGTGCGAAGAGGTGCAGAACCCACACCGCGAGGTCCCCAAAGCGATTGTCCTCTCCGTCGTCGCCGCCGGCATCACCGGCGTCGTCTACCTCGTCCCCATCCTCTTCGTTCTGCCCGACGTCAAGACCCTCCTCAACGTCGCCAGCGGCCAACCCATCGGCCTGGTCTTCAAAACCGTCACGGGATCGGCCGGAGGGGGCTTCGGTCTTCTCTTCCTGATTCTAGGCATCCTCATGTTCGCCGGAATCGGAGCCCTCACGGCCGCCAGTCGATGCACCTACGCCTTCGCCCGCGACGGAGCCATCCCCGGATTCCGCATCTGGCGCAAGGTCAACGACCGCCTCGACGTGCCGGTCTACGCCATCCTCCTCTCCACCGTGGTCGACTGCCTGCTGGGTCTGATCTACTTTGGGTCCACGGCCGCCTTCAACTCCTTCACCGGCGTCGCCACCATCTGCCTCTCCACCTCCTACGGGGTCCCCATCCTCATCAGCGTGATTCGCGGCCGCCAGGCCGTCAAAGAATCTACCTTTTCGCTGGGTCGCTTCGGTTACGCTATCAATATCGTCACCGTCTGCTGGATCGTTCTGGCCGTGGTCCTCTTCTGTATGCCCGTTTCGTTGCCGGTCGATGCGTCGAGTATGAATTATGCGAGCGTGGTCTTTGCTGGCTTTGCGGCGATTAGCATCACTTGGTATGTTGTGTATGCCAGGAAACATTTCACGGGCCCGCCTGTCACGGGCGACGATATGGCCGACGTCATTCCGGGGAAGGCTGTTGATGCCGAAAATATCTATCCCGATGATGCTGCTGCTGCTATGGGTGAGAAGAAGTGATTGGAATTATGCTTCTTCACCCCTTGTTTTCATTTTTCATATTTTTTTTTTCTTTTAAATTACGATCGATGAAATGATCATGTATAGTTCGGTTTTTTATAGTCTTTCACATGTATATTTGAGATGACTCTTATGTCGATGGAAAATACTCCCGGAAATCAATCAATCAATATATAATCAACCAACAAAAAAACCATAAGAATATCTCAATAGGAACAATGGTACATCCATCGAGAATGTAAAAAGTATGACAGTCAATAAAAATTCAATCGATCGAATCGAAGATATATGGTCTGATCGATAAGTATCCGCCTTGGGGTAACAATCACAGTCATTGCATGCCCCAGGCACAAGGTGTCAAACGACCTCCGAGAGCCGCGGTTACTTTTCCAGCCAGTCAAAGGTCGACGGTCACCACCGAATCTACTGCTCATTACGGAGGAACTACTGGACCTAACCAAACGACCGACTTACTTTACTCTCCCTCCCCCTCCCCTCCTGACAACAGGTCCTCTCCCAAAAGAACAAGCAGAAAAAAAAAAAGGGGGAACACGATCACAATTCCGGCATTCCTCAATTAATTGACCAACCTCGCTCAATTCGCCTTCTTTCTGGTTTTGTGGCTGGCCGGAAATCCGGGGAAAGCTTGTCGACCTTCGAGGCTCAACCACCTCCCAAGTTGAACTACTTCTTCTTCTTCTTCTTCTGTTCTTGTGTGTTGGTTGGTTTTTGTATTGTACTTTTCGGGACCCAATTCGGTGCGTGAAAAAGGGTTGTCTAATTATATATATATTTCCTTTCTTTTTTTTTTTTTTTTTTTTTCTTTCTTCGTGACGTTCGTTTGTTTTGGAAAGTTTAGTTGGGGGGAGAAAACGGGGGCTTTTTATCTATCGTTATCCATGACGGTGCTTATCTGGGGTCTGATTCTTTTGCTCTGATGAAGCGAGGACTAGTACGTACATCGGCCTTTGCACCATGTCGGACTCTGTGGGTATGTTTCCTTTTCCTGTTTATTTTCTGGGGAATTTGAACTTTTGGTTTATGGATGACATTGATATTGATGTTTGTTTGTACTGGTACAGATCGAGTCTTCGTCCACGCCCTCAACACCGTGAAACGCATCCCCCGAACCGGTACCGCCCGGCCACCCGCGTCCGAGCGATTGAAGCTCTATGGCTTGTATAAACAAAGCATGGGTATGGATTTACCCTTCTTCCACCTCGGACAGGGGATTATACTGACGGAGAGGGGAAATCAGAGGGTGACGTGGAGGGGGTGATGGATCGACCGGTCGGGAATACGGCGGATGTGTATGCGGAGTGTGAGAAGTGGTATGTCTTTCCCCCCCCTTTCTTTTCTTTTCTTTTTTCTTTTGTTTTTGGTCGCAAATCCCGGGGGCCGGAACATAATACTGAATCAAATGGCTAGGGATGCATGGTTCGCGCAACGGGGGTTATCCCGCACCGAGGCGAAACGTCGATATATCTCGACGCTGATCGAGACGATGCATCGCTATGCTTCGCAGACGCCGGAGGCTAGGGAGTTGGTTTCGGAACTTGAGTTCGTCTGGGATCAGGTTAAGATCAATACTTCCGCGTCGTCGGCGTCCAGTGGTAGTCCTGTGCAGGCGGTTGCGCCGCCGTTGTCGCACTCGCAGCCGAGCTATGCCAGTATCGGAGGTCGCTTGGCTCGTTCCGACTATGAGCATTTGATTGCTACGGCGCGCGGGGATTCGCGGTTACGAGTGCTTAGTCCTGTTAGTCAACCCGAGGAGGTGTTTCAGCGGCGGCGCGGGTCCCATGGGGATCGTGTGCAGGATGAGGAAGAGGAGGAAGAGGAGGAGGAGGAGTATGCGGAGGCACAGGATACTCTTGACGAAGATGATAATGATCATGACAATGATGATGGCTCTTATAACAATGCCACTGAGGATGGGAGTGAACAGGACGCGGATGAGGCCGTACTACGCGGTCGTGGGCGGACTGGCCCCAAGAAACCCCCGGATGTCGATAGTCGGCGATGGCGGCGGCGAGTCGAGCAGGCCTTGACGAAAATGACCGCTGAGATTGCCGCGGTCCGGGAGCAGATGGAAGCCCGCGCGGTGGCTCATCGGCGGCGGAATACGGTCTGGGCGTGGCTGAAATGGCTCGTCTGGGTCACGCTTCGCCAGGTCATTTGGGACCTGGCGATCCTGGGGATGATGTTGATCTGGATGCGGCTGCGCGGGGACCGCCGCCTGGAGAGTAAGCTCAAGGTCGGATGGGCGGAGGTGAAGACGCGGCTGTCGAAGTTGAAAGGGCTTCGACGGGTGTCCAAGGTACATAAATGCCCTTAGTGGGTGGCTGTCGTTCGTTTGCTTTCTCTTCGAGTACATATTCTTTCATATATCCTGCTTAGATTCCCTTGTCTTTCGTTGTTTATTTTCCTTTGTCATGCCATGTCAAGGTCAGGAGGTTGGATTGGTGTTGGTTAGAGTCAAGGCTTCACTGTATTCTAGCATAGAAGTCGCGTTGCAATTGCCACAGAACTCAAGTCCTTCAAATACCCATTTCGAAGATGTAGACACGACACCTCTATACCGAGAAACCAGGACACTCAATTCCTATGCTAATATGTACACATACAAACAGTCCACAAACCAGACCCGACCAGACCAGACATAAAACAAAACCTAATACTGAGGACCAGGGAACTGAGCATAAATCTGCTTGGGACGCAGATGAACCGGGGTCTGGCCCTCGGGAGCACCGGGGATCGTCTTCTTGAGGCCCTGCAATGAATCCATTAGCCAAAACCACCGGCCACATAGAACCGAGATTCAACACGGGGAGAGACCAACCAGCTTGTCAAAGACACACTTGTTCAGCTCCATCTCGGGCTTCCGGCATTCCCACAGATTATGGTTGTTGTTCTCCAGACACTCCCAGTGCGCGGTGAACTGTTTCAGGCAGTGGGTGTTGATATCTTTGATACTGCATGCAATTAGCAACCGACCCTCTCTCTCTCTCTCTCTCCCTCTCTCTCATCACACCACCACCTCCGCCTCCCCCGGAGACCTGCAAACAGAACGCGCACAGAAGGAAGAAACATACACGGAAGCAGCACATCTCGTCACCTTCCGGCCCTCCTTCAGACACTCGAACTCCCCCCTTCCGTTGGCCTCCTGCTTGCACTTCATGTAGTCATCATTGAAGGCCTTGCACCTGTCGCCGATAAAGTACGCCGCACTGGTCAGGGGTGCCGAGGTCGCGCCGACTTCCTGGACACTGGGAATGTCCGCCGGCATGGGCGTGGTGTCCACCAGGACCTGTTGGTTGAACCTATCATGGAAACCGCATTAGCGTCTCGTTCGAATTGTACACGGAAACGACCGGTAGCGGTAGTCAATTGGGGCCGTTGTAGAAAAGAAAAAGACATACTGAGGTTCTCGGGCCGCCATTTTGTCTAGTCGTAAGCGTGAATTGGGGGAATTGGGAGACCGTATAGAGAGGAGGGCCTTGATGGACGAGTCCGGGTGATGCTGGAGTTTGGAGGTCGGTTTTTGCTTGTCTGTCATTGGTCCGTTGGGGTAAGTTATGTAATATATCTGCCTGAGGTGTCTGATCCCGCATCCGAGGCGGTCATACTTTCCCATGCCTTAGGCAGGAGAACCATGTTGCTTGCTGTAGCTGTCTCACGTGACACGGCGAAAAACAAACCAGCTCCCGAGACAAGTTGAACGAGTGAATTGAATGCAGTCGTCAGTTTCAATTGCAGTGGTTCTGCACCCCGACTCTTTACGAAGTTGCTGCTTTGCTGCAGCGTGCGGTTCTGAGATATTGGACCGACACTGAGTTTGCATTCGCGCTGGACGGTGACAATCTGCGATTCTCTATCGACCGACTTTCCTGTTTGAAGAGTAAGACGCTTGGTGCGGAGCTTTGGTTTTTTTTTTATTTATTTTTATTTTTTTTCTCTATTTTATTTACTTTTGAGTGTTGATATTGGACACGCCACCTTTCGTCGAACTATTCGCTTGACATTTTCCTGACTCGCACTCCGCTACATACCGTAATGTCTCTCTTTGGAAATCAGACTCAGACCCAGCCGTCCGGCGGACTGTTTGGGTCTTCGACGACCGCGAATAAGCCCAGCCCCTTTGGCGGCGCTGCCACTGGCGGAGGCCTTTTCGGTTCGAATACTCCCGGAACCGGAACTCAGCAGAGTAGCGGCGGTCTCTTTGGACAGACACAGAACCAGGGCGCGACAGGAGGTGCTACTGGCGGTGGTGGTCTGTTCGGATCATCGACGGCGCCATCGCAGCCTCAGCAGACCGGTGGTCTCTTCGGCAACACTACGACACAGAACCAGCCGCAGACGGGCGGACTTTTCGGGAATACTGCCACCCAGCAGAAGCCCGCTGGTGGACTCTTTGGGGGATTGGGCCAGTCGACACAGCAACAGCAGCCGCAGCAACAGTCGGGCGGTGGGTTGTTCGGGGGTGCGTTGGGTCAGCAGAAGCCCCAGGGCAGTCTGTTTGGAGGTACACTGGGACAGACGACACAGCAGCAACAAGCGCCGCAACAGGGCGGTGGTCTTTTCGGAGGAGGATTGGGTCAGACACAACAGCAACCGCAGCAGCAGCAGAGTTTATTTGGAGGCACCCTACTAGGAGGTCAACAGCCGCAGGGCCAGCCGCAGCAACAACAACAGCCTCAATTGGGCCAGTCTGTGCAACAGCCGGGGTCGAGCCTTTGGTCGCCTGGTCGCGCCGTCACTGGAGGTTAGTTTTATTTTTACTTGGTTTATTGTGGGAGATGCATTGCGCTGACGCTCGTAGTACACCGGACTGTTCCGACACAGATCGCGATCGTCAAGGATAAGTGGGACACTGCCAGCCGCAATTCTCCGTTTCGAGCATACTTGTACAACCATGTCGGTGAAGAGGCGGCACCTTTCTACCAACCCGGCCCGGATGACGACGAATCGAAATGGGAGGAAGCTTTGCGCAAGCGGCCCGCACCTGGCTATGTGCCTGTGATTGTGAGGGGCTTCTTCGAGCTGGGCAAGAGAGCTCAGAGACAAAAGGATTTCCTTACGATGATGCAAACCCGCCTCCACGAGATCAACAACTGTCTCACTGAATTGCTCTCTCGTCACGACCTTAAGATCTCCGTCAGGATAGCCGACTGCCGGCGGAAGCACCTTGTCCTGAGCAAGCGGTGTCTAGCGCTTGCGGCCAAGACCCAGGTCCTACGCAACCGGGGCTACGCGATGGACGACGCCGAGGAGGAGCTGAAGAAGAAACTCGCCCTGCTGGAACGCTCCGTCTTCGACCCCTCCTTGAATGGACGTGAAGAAGAGATCTGGGCCCGAATGCTGGCGATCCGGGAACACTCGAAACGCCTGCAGCTGGAGATGGAGAAGGCCGGTCCGGGTGCCGCTGCCCAGGCGGATGACGAATTGGATGAACAGACTATGAAGACTGCTAAGAAGGTGAGCACCAAACCTCCCAATCACTTCTTATCTGATCCCTACTAACAACATGTAGATTTTGGATGACTATCATACCCAGATCAAGCACCTGCAGAAGGAACTGGAGTCCGTGAGGAAAGACTTTGATGAGGCGGAGAAGCTCCAAGGCCGGGTCGATCACTAGCCTTGTGGTCGCTACGCTATGATTGATCTTGACACTCGGGGGGAATACATGGCTTAGGTTGAATGTCCGGGAGCAAGGAGTTATAGGAGCTGGTAATCTTGCAATTGTGATCCGATTCGGAACCCCCTTAGATAAGAAGAAAAGAAAAACCCAAAAAACCAACACTTTGTCATTTCCCCATCTTCATTCTATACTTTCCGCAATGATAACCCGAATGTACAATAATAATACATCTCTGCCGTTGGCTAGGCAGGAGCAAACAGACAAAGTGACGCCGTCTAATGAATCCCCGTCATACCGTAGACCGTACGAATTATGGATCGCTTAAAGGAACTTCTTGACGAAATCGATAGCGAAGGGAGCTAGGTGCACTTGTTAGCTTCGTCGAATTCTCTCCAGCAACACGACAAGAAGACCGAAAGAGAGAAAACCAAACTCACAGAGATACAGAAGGATTCCACCGGTAATGGCAGAGCGGATGGTCTGCTGAGCCTCCTCCTCACCAGCCTGTCCCATAGCATCAGCATTTACATTCAACCTATGATCATTATAACATCAAACAAAAACCAAAGGATCCATACTCTAATCTGCTCCTTCGAGAGCGTTTCCTGACCTAAACCACAGACACAGTATTAGCCCAACCATCCCAGAAACTCCCAAATAAATAAAAAAAAAGAAAACCCCTAGGAAATAAAACATACCGGGAGCGAACATCTTGTACTTTTCTGTTTTTTTTAAAAAAAAAAGTAATTAATTAGGGAATCGGTAAGTTGAAGACAAATGATAATGACGGCAAGTTGGGTACGCTAAAAAGTGATGATGAATGAATATGATGAGTTAAAAGAGGCTCCGATTCTGCCCAACGCACGGACCATCACGCGGAGGCGGAATTTCTGCGGTCAACTCTTCTTTACTTACTTAACCTTTCTAAGTCCCGTCGTCACTACAGTTTCTTGTCTGAAGCGCGAGTTTGGATTTTTAATTATTTATTTTCCCTTTTTCTTTTTCTTTCCATCTTGCTTCTCTTTTCCTTTCTTTCTTGATTACATTTCTTCGTATCGATGGTATTTACCGAGAGAAAGTGAAAAAGGAAGGAAAGAAAGTAACCAATCAGTATCTCAAGAAGATATCAATCTATCTTGTTTCTTTCCCGTCGCAATAGCAACGGAAGCGAGCGCCTTGCGCGATCGACCTATCCTGCTTTCTACAAAACATACCCACGCCCCCCTACACACCCACACAAAACTGAGCCAACATGTCCGCCAGTCCTGAGATTAAGCCGGTCGAGGAAGACCCCGTTCAAGCGCCTACACCCGGCGCCGGTGATGACGAATCTCAGGGCGTGGAGGAAACACCCGCTGCCGACGTGGATGCCGACGAGGACGCAGAAGAAGAGAAGGATAACGGGTCCGATGACGAGTCGATTCTGTCGGAGGTAGACGAGGCGCAGTTCGAGGACTTTGATCCGGAGAATGTGGACGTCGAGGACCGGCCGCAGTTGGCGATTGATGAGGATAATCTGAAGCTGATTGGACGGCATAAGCGGAAGAGGACTGAGGATGGGGAGCGGTCGACACGCAAGAGGGAGGGGCGCAGGGAGAAGAAGAGTCGGAGGATGAGGGATTTGGAGGAGGCTGGTGATGATGATGGTGAGGGCAAGGCGAAGAAGAGGGAGAGGAAGAGGAGGGAGCCGACCCCTGAGGATGATGAGACGTTGGATCCTGCTACTCGTATGTTTTCTTTCTTTTCCCTTGCTTTGGGCTCGGGGGTAATGGCTGTTGGGGACTAACTGGAGCAGGTCGTCGTCGGGCTTTGGATCGTGCTATGGATGAGGCGCTCAAGAAGCCTACTAAGAGGCGTTTTCGCAAGGCAGATGGGATTGTATGTTTTATGCTTGATGTCATTTTCTGGGTTTACTGTGTGTGGCTGGGTGCTAATTGATATTGCTAGGATCTGGAACAAATGGCCGATGCCGAGATTGAGGATATGCGCAAGCGCATGACCCATGCTGCTCAGATGGATGCTATCAGTCGTCGGGAGGGCAAGCCCGCTATGCATAAGTTGAAGATGCTGCCCGAGGTGGTCTCTCTACTTAATCGCAACCAATATGTCAACAGCTTGGTTGACCCTGAAATCAACCTGCTTGAGGCGGTCAAGTTCTTCCTGGAGCCTTTGGATGACGGCTCGCTGCCGGCCTACAATATCCAGCGTGATTTGATGACCTCGCTGGCTAAGCTTCCGATCAACAAGGAAGCGCTTGTTGCGAGTGGAATCGGCAAGGTGATTGTGTTCTACACCCGGAGCAAACGTCCCGAAGCCGGTATCAAACGTATGGCTGAGCGTCTGCTTGCTGAATGGACGCGCCCGATCCTCCAGCGCAGCGATGATTACTCCAAGCGAGTCTACCAGGAAGCGGAATTCGATCCTCGGTTTGTCTCCCCACATCCCCCAAATTTGGTGGACCTGTATCAGAAACTAACTCTAGGTTGTATAGAAAAGTCCAGCGTACTACGCAATCGGCTCAGGCCACTGCGGCGGAAGCTCGCGCTCGCGAACTGCTTCCTCCTCGTCTGGCGAACCGTGCCCGCGCCGAGATCACACATACCAGCTATACTGTCGTTCCTCGTCCGACGATGGTGCAGGAGAGCAAGTTCGCACGGCCACTGGGTGCCAGTGGAGAGGATCGATTCCGAAAGATGCGTGCCCGACAGATTGCGGCGTCGAAGGGATCGCGTCGATAGGGTTGCTTTCATTTTCGTCGATATTCTTGTTGCCACATGGTTGCTCCTATTTTCTCTGTTTTATTTTTCTTCTCTCTTTTTTTTTTTTTTTTTTTTTTTTTTTTTTTTTTTTTTTTCTTCTCGTCTTGCCGATCACATTTTCTTATGTTTTTTTATCCGATTGTATCGCAAAGTGTTACCTACGGTTCGGGTGCCGGCGTCATGGGATTGATATTAAAATCATAGTCCATAACTAGTTAGTCTAGAACACACACAATACTTACATAAAATGAAGGAGAATAATTCCCGGAAGACCATACCGAAGTCGGTAGGGGTAACCTGCCAATCATGCCATCCGGAAAGCCACAAAATTACCCGCAACGGCTGACTCAGACTCTTCTCGCGCGAGAAGTCTGGCGTCATGTGCACGTAAAGAGTTTAGTTCGCTGCACCAGCCATGCCTTCCGAGCTTTGCCCGGCAGACCCCGAACACCTAAATTGCTTTTCATCGGTACGTCACGGCCTTTGCTCAATCGCCGACTCTGTTCGTTTTCGTGCGCTTCTCTATTTAAATCCTCGCCGCCGTTGCGCCATAGCTGCTTCTCTTCAATTTCCATTCCGATTTTCTAGATCGTCTTCTATTTTCTTCGATTGACGATATATCAACGATACTATACATATATTAATTGTTTGATATTAATACATCTCCCACAAACTACAAACACAACACACAACAAAATGAAGCTCCTCACCAAGGAAGAAGAAGATGCTCACTACAGGTAAGACCACACCACCCACCACCCCATATATCCAACCCCAATTATACAACTCTCCCCTACCCAATCTCCCAAACAACCAACTAACCAAAATGTAAAAAAAACAGAGCAGTCCTAAAAGGCGGTTCAATCGGTACCGTCCTCGGTTTAATAGGCGGTTACGCCGGAGTCATGGCCGCGTCCCGCCGCTACCACACAATCCGGAACCTCACACTCCCTATGAAAGCCTTCCTGGTGACCTCCTCCGGAACCTTCGTGGGCATCATCGCGGCCGACAACTCATCCCGGAACTTCGAAGCCGAGCGCAACGCCGACCAGCAATGGTACCAGAACCGCGAGCAGCGATTGCGGGAGGAGTCGCTGCAGGGGATGAGTTTCATGGAGCGGTCGTTGGCGTGGGCCCGGAAGGAGAAATATACGATTGTCACGGCGACGTGGGTGGCGTCGATGATTGGGAGTTTTGTCCTTGTGGGACGTAACCCGTATCTCAGTGGACAGCAGAAGATTGTCCAGGCGCGTGTGTATGCCCAGGGATTGACGCTGGCGGTGTTGGTGGCTTCTGCGGCGTTTGAGATTAGTGATCAGAAGAAGGGGAAGGGGATTTTGAAGAAGAAGTTGGAGGAGCAGGAGGCTGCGGGTAAGGGTCAGGTTATTGCGGAAGAGCCTGTCAGGCAGCATCAGCAACAGAATGAGGGCGAGGGCGATTTGTGGAAGGATATGGTTGCTGCTGAGGAGGAGAGGTTGAAGAAGAAACATCAGAGTGTTTGGGAACATCCGGAGTTGCATAAGGAGGGTCAGCAGCAGCAGCAGCACGCTAAGGAGGTTAAGGAGGTCAAGGAGGAGAAGAAGGAGCAGCAGTGATCCGTTGTGGTTGGCTCTTCTTGGCTTTGTGTCTTTGGTTGAAGCGTTTGGGGGATCTTCATTGTTTTGCGGGGACTGAAAAGTCTTTTTTGTTTTGGGTTTATAGATTCTTTTGTGATTCTCTTTTTCGTCTGGGCGGCGCAGGGCGTTGATTGTTGATTGTTTCTCTGCTGGGTGGCTCACATGGTGCTGCAGCGGCTGTGTGTACACTGGTTGTACTGTATTCTATGAATCTCCTCTACAATTGATGCCTCGTCATGTCTTGTTCACTATGTGAGCTCCTGGAATGTCAAATAATCCTCTTGTGTTCTTCAATCTGTCATGTGCATACCGGTGCACTGACATCTTCCGTTAACAAACACCATATGGTTTCTCATGTTCGCAGTGCATATTAAGTACATCCCCATGAACACCGTACCTGGACGCCATACTCCGTAGGCAAAGATCCTGCGATTGCTAGACATCAATCTTTTCATTCCGAGCGCGTGACCCGCGGCCCAAGTACGAAGACGCCTCGAGTCTGTTGAGCTCATCCTCTTCCTTATCCAGCTTGCGGTGCGTGATCCAAAACAGGTTTCCCCCGATAAACGAAAGAACAGCGACGAAACCATAGTTCCACACGAGAAGAGGGTCAGTGGATAGAGGAGTTAGTCCTTGTTGAACGGCAGATGAAATGGCATTCATGAAGAGGTAGATAGATTGTACTATCGGTTAGATCTAGATTAGTAGATGCAGGAAACAATTGAATAAGCGGCAGATACTATATAGTACATACCTAAGCTCTTCATATTCTTCGGCGCCTTGGTGAATGCATACTCGTATCCAGTAATCAAGGTAAAGATCTCTGAAAAAGCGATCAATATGTACGGCACAGCTTGTACCCAGACATTGATAGGCGCAGGAGTCTTGCAGCTCTTTTCGCCCGGATACTTGCCACATCTGCCCGTTTTATAGATATAGTGCTGTATCACGGTGGCAGATACCATGGATATCGCCGCGAGCATGTAGCCCGCGTACATTCGCTTCAGAGGGGTAAACCGGACGCCCAGTCGCTGGATCCCAGGATAGATAAACTGGTCCATGAGAGGTATGAAAATGATTAGAGACAGCGGATTTAGGTTCATGATGATATCATTTGGGACGCCGTTAAGCTCCATGGTGGCTGCTTGGGAGGTGAGGTTGTTGGTCATTTGTCCATAGGCCAGCCCTAAGCTTGGTTAGACAGATATATTTGGAAACCCTGGGGCCGCGATTCGTACAGTAGAGTGGGTACCAGAGGAAGACGGCGCATGCCTTGATGGCTCTGCGTACCTCGCCCACCCATTTGTCGTCAAATGTCATCCACACTGGCTTCCTCTGTACTTTGCTCGGCTTTACGTTCTCCCAGAAGTCGCTCGCTCGACAGTTCTGGACACTGTTTGCAAAGTATCAGCTAAGCTGGTTAGTGGGAAGTGAAGAGTTGGACTAACAATCGGATGGGATTCCAAGACCACCTCCCCTTGAGCGCGAATACCCAAAGCTTGAACGCCTTCCCTACCACTGACCCAGTTGGGGGAGTAACCTCATAATTCTTGCGGCAGATGTAGAGCACGAGTGGGCAGATGGCGAACATGATGGTGGGAAGGACGAATGAGAGCCAAAATCCAACATATTTCTCCGCGTACACCATGACAATCTGTCCAAGCAAGGAGCCAACGTTGATCATGAAGTAGAAATACAGGAAGATCCGGGTGATTGTCTGAGCCGGGTCCACAATGACACGTTCTCCGGTCTTTGGGAGTATCTTGATATAGTGTCGGGTTTCTTTGTGCTGTTCTGCGATTAGAGGGGCAATGTTTGATCTATTAATTTGTTATTCAAGGAATTAACAGTCGGAAGAGAAGCAACTATACTTGAAACCTCCCACACCAATTCCAAAGAGTACCAGACCGACTATGAAGCAACCTAACGCACCACTGGGATGCGCAATCACCTGGGGAAGAGATGCGATGATCAAGACAATATGTCCAACCATGGCAAAGGCGATGGCAACTTGGATGGTCTTCAAGCGGCCCCAGAACTCGTCGGCCACCCAGGCACCGACAATAGGCGTCACGTAACACCAGAAAACATTGACTTCAATTGTCAGAGTATTTCTTCCGCAAATAAGGGGCTTTGTGATTGGGAAGCTTACGAGTAGTTAGGCCTGTGGAGACTCTCTGGCCCATGCCTAGAGCTCCTGACTGTCCTGCATGGCCGGCACCAGTGCTCGAGTTTTGCGGGAGAGGCTGCTGGATAAAGTTGACAACTGGGGAATGTCATTCTCATATCTCGTGCGAATGAAAAGGTTACATACAAACAGCAGTGGTTCCATAGTAGGAGAACCGTTCGCACAGCTCAACAAAGGCGATGGTATATGCAGTCCATCGAACGCTTCCAGCGACGCGACGGAGAGACTCCAGTTCTTCTCCTGTGGGGGTTGCGCAGCTATCATGATCCAGAGAGGGGGCCGCCGACATCACGGTAGTCTCTTGCTCTAGGAGAGGAGCTTTAAGTGTCTCATGTGCCCGCATACCAGGTTTTCCGCAGCTAGTGGGGTCACTCATAGTTGTGACAGGATCTGGAACGGATGGACACTACTAATCAGAAGATGAGGACGCTCCAGGAAGGTATAATAACATGGGATGATAGACAACTTACCAAGCGAGAGGCTCAAGAGTCGGAGAGGGGAAGTTTTGGGCGAACGAGGGATAGAACACAATAAAGAGAGAAGATAAAGAGAGGAGACAGAGGAATGGGTCAAGTGCCTGGGGGAGATGGCAGCCAGTCTCGTGCTTGCCCTGATTAAACTTTTATATAGAAATTCACTCTCGCCAGACGCGCATCTTGAATCTCATTGGAGAAAAAAAAAATCCAATTCCAGGGCTCGGCCAATATTCTCTACGAATGGTCTTGGATGGGACAGAATACTAGTGCCTGTTACCACTTTTGTGTTATACCTGAAGTTGGTATACGATGTGGTCTATCATCCGATATAGCTGTGGCCATTGAGAATACTAGATACCAGGACTACCCGTGACCTGACGGTTGGGTGCATTCTTTTTTTTTTTTTTTTTTTTTTTAAAGGTAACGAACTTTGGTGAACGGGAAGCCAGACCCGTTTACGCGCTGATACTCTGGTTAACGATGAATTATGCTCAGTCCAAAGTTTCTCCGCACGCTGAGAGATGTTTGTGGCCGAGTAACGATACAAATGGACAGGTTCCTCCGAATATCCCTATTCCTAGAGTGAAAGAAAAGCCTTTGAAAGTCTTGTAAAAGTTCTTATCTAGTCATCTTGTGCCGATCGATAAATTAACACCACAAGTTTTAGCCTCGACAGAGACATTGTTTATTTGTGGCATTGCAAGGGAGTGTATGGGCCAGCATCTTTGGTTTCTAGGTGACACGGTGAGAAAAGCGGTCAATCATGGGGTAGATCTTGATTTGAGACTATATCAGTGAATGCTCCTACTCAACCTGACCTGTGGACTGATCACCTGCGTGGGATTAGCCAAATCCATCCCGAACTGTCGTGGAAAATGATTCTAGATATATAAGACATTTCCAAGAGACAGAACACAGGTATTCCATTACAACAGAGAATATGCCACGCACCTGAGTTTGTTACATCGGATGATACAATAAGCTTAGTACCCATTAGACTTGAAGACCCTTGTTGACAATTATCTGCCGAGCTACCAATACGTTTATGAGGAAGTCTTATTATACGCTTTGAAATCACTGTAATTATTTGGAATGACATAAATGGACAATTGTTTAGGGAGGAGGCACAAGAAACACTCGAGGGGGCCAATTGAAACTCCATCATACATACTACGATTGCACTAAAGCACACCTTGTAGGCCATCAAACTTATCATATCAAAAACGGGAACAATCTTCACAAAGGGCAAGCCAAGGTTACCTATAAGAGGCTAGCGTATTGACAAAATTGTCCGATTGGATGGTTAAGCATTAGGGTACTAGTATTTACTATACGATGAATAGCATAAGATACGTATGTATCAGCAGTACACCGCGGAAGAAATGTCAACGAAGGAAACCTAGCGGAGCTAAGAAAACATGTCTGGCAACAAGGTTGCTCTCATTGATGTCCCCAGTTATTTCGGAGGTACCCTAGTGGTGGCTTGCCTTGTATTTATCTTTGTCCTCCCGCTCTTCTTTCCATAGATATCTGTGCTGTAGCGCGTCACATGCCAATTCTATGCTTAAAGCCAGACTTAATAGGAGCCGACTCTTTATATGGTCTCATATGTGAACGTAGTATTGAGGTTACTAGGTGATTTTTCAAATGGAAACTGAATATGACCACACGTCTCTAGTCCAGTAAACTTCTCAGTTGAAGAGACAGAACACAGTATCTTGGCTTCACGACGTTCTTTGAAATTTCCGGGTGCCCTATATATGGTTAGCCTGAGTAAGCATGGCACTATAGCCCATATGAAAAAGAAAACAAAAGTCTTGAGTAGCATGCTGGTCATATCAGTCATTATTCATTCAGTGAGCCAACTATTTACATTCATCTCACGCAGTAACTCTCATTCGTGTAGGCAAATGATAGGAAAGTTACAGACGGAGCTAACCAACGTACTTATATAGTAGTAGATACGAGAAAGCATCAGTAAATCCAGGTCGTCACGGTTAATGAGTCCCGCCAGGTTGGGCAGGTGTAGGCGTTGAGCCAATAGCCGGTGATGTAGCCGCCTTGCACGCGCGGTTCTTCGGACTCCTTAAGGCGGTAGCACCCATATAATAAGGAGGAAGTTCCACAGAGTTATTCTGGTCTCCAATTCCCGTTGTCATCAGGTCATTGATCAAACATTCGCGGAGAAAACCGTGTCGGATATAATAACTGCAACAGCCGCAATCTGGAAACACAGTCAGCTGATTTGCTAACGCTCATTTGGGGCAAATTACATACTAGTGATTGATCGACGTGCGCAGTTATAATGATATCCAGGACTGGTCGATAGCCATGCTTAGAACTAGGAAAGCGCTTCATCAAGGCCAGTTTCTCGTTGTGCTGTATACTCTCGCGCACTTCTGCTACCTTCCTATCACCATCCACAATATCATATAATGCTAAGACATTCCCACGGCTCTGGACCTCTAGGGAGAGCTCCTTATCCTCCTTACGCTTGGATTCGAAGGCCGCTGCATTATCGAACGTGATGGTGAAATTCCCCCAACCAGACATACCAGACGTTCGCCGCGGACTGATAGTGGCTATTTTCGCACTACTACTCCCCGGCAGCGAGATCGACCAGGAGTTCCTAAAGGATTTTCGGTAGATCTCGAATAAAGGGAGCCCCGAGGCATCTCTAAATTCCCGGCAAGGGCGATCGTTGAATTTCCGACCGGAGGCTGTGAATAGGACTATACCGTCATCATCTTGGATACTATAACCAATGGCAGATTTCGGGTCCCCCTGGGGTCGAAAGGTGAGGAGGGCTTTAGCTTCGGTGATATATTCTCTTCGAAGAGCGATCGGGCGCTCGGGAGCTTTCAGAACTCTGCGAATCCGGGGAGAGCATCCGGTAGCCAACGGAGCTTGCAGGGGTGGTAGGACGTAGGTGGTGGACATTGTGCTGCTGGCCGTTGGAGGGGGGGGAATTGGACTGCCCTGCGTTATGAGGTGCTGCGATTGCGGGGAAAGCAGCTTTGTTTATAATCAAGCGGAGAGTTCCAGGTTAGATGTGATAAGCCCATTTAAGTCACTCGCGCGCACAGCCCGGCGCCTCCCGATGACTTCATAGGTGGTAGAAAGGGATTCCCCATCAAGTTTGGAAGGGGCCCACCAATCAGAGCATCCATGGTCTGACCTACTTTCCAGGTACTAAGAATACCGGCCCAGACAAGTGGTCTGGAATGCGATACATGACTTGCCAAGACCTTTCGGTTGTGATATGGCCTCCTACTAAAGATGATAGATTCGGAGTTACGCCTCAATTTGACACAGTGCAGAAATACTTGCAGGATAAGCTTACACGGTTTCCAATCAGGCTACTTGACTCATAAGCGCTGTGTCACTTTGACCTATCAGTATATATATATGTATGTATGTAAGGGCTTGGAACCTACCTCAAAGCGGAATGATTGCTGGTTCTCAAGAGATGGCGGTGTCATTTTAGAACGGCAGTGCAAACCATACATACTCGCAGCCTCCCATGCCCAGCCCAGCCACAAAACCCCGTGACCGATCCATTGCCCTGACCCACTCGGGACTAGTCCTAAACCCAAACCAACGTGTGTTCCCGGATTAGCGGGTGGTTTTGCCTTCCTTTTTGTCGATCTTGGGCCCTTTTGTTTTTCTTCTTCAGACAAAATTTTCTTTGGATGCTTCTACCACAGACAACCCATTAGGATGATAAACATGGATTTATACAAGACAGCAGAAAGCCAGAAATAGAAGCGGAGAGGCTGAGGGAAGCCAAGACGCTTGCAACAATGCTAACGCGAAAACAGTTGGAATGTCTCAAATTGCAATCCATCGTTTGACCCTTTGACTTGTTCCCAAATTCCCCTCCATGGAGATCCGAGTGGGGGCGACTGTCTCTCTCTTTTTTTAAGCCTTTTTTAATCTATTTTTCTTCTAGCTCTTCCATGTTAACTAACCAACCACCCACTCATCTCTTATGTCATAACGATTGGCTGTGTTTTCTCACTACCTAAGGCATCCAACCCTTCACTGCCTGTGTAGTCAGCTGTTCGCTAGTGCTAGTGCTAGTGCTAGGAGCAGTCAGTCCTACTACGACTTGAGTAGGTATCAACGCCCAGTTCTGCTGCTTGACTTGTCCCTATCTCCACTTCATGTCACTTCATCCCTGAAGTCCATCGGTATGAAAATATGGCGGCAATGTGTGTCTCGCCCCATGCGGGTACTCCTATACCTTATAGCACTCGTGCTCCTGCTGTGCATAGTTCTCCCTTACGACCACCCTATCCGACTATCGGTTCGCTTCAATGTTAAAGCTTTTGGTACCGCCTTCACTTCTTACCTGGGAGGCCGCTGGTGGTTCTCGGAACGGTCTACTTTTCCGGTGGTGCTATCGGACGATGTTGCTGTGTTGATGAAATCTGGATTTGGGACAAAGGATCGCATCGCTGCTTGGTTAGAAGCTCACGAGCAGGATAGATTCAACAACCTCCTCCTTGTTGGTGATTTCGCCACACCTTCAGGACAGCTTTTTAGCTACAATGGCCGGCGCCTACCAGTTTTTGACCTTGTGGCTTGGATGTTGGAAAAAGGATACTTGTCTGCAGAACTAACGCATCCACGACTGATGAAACATTCTAACTTAAGCGCCGCTATCTCCAACGGGGACACGGAAATCGCAAAGGAACTATCGAAGTCATTCGGGTGGGAGCTGGACGCTCTAAAGGTACCTAGCCCCGATGGTTAGAGAAACTTTCGTTCCGTGTTGCTGTGGCTTGCATCAATGTGGTACCTCGTTAATTGACCTGGGAGGCTGACATGCAGTAGTTTATCTCTGGCCTCGAATTATGCTATAACCAGATGCCAGATAAAAAGTGGTACATTATGGCAGACGACGATACGTATCTCATGCAGCCCGCCCTCAAGCTGCTACTAGAACATCTTGATCCTGAAGTACCCTTTTATGTTGGCAACGCGGTAGGTGACTACAAAGGTCGTTTTGCACATGGGGGATCCTCCGTGGTCCTATCCCAAGCCACAATGCGTTTGCTTTTCTCGCACCACGATGTAGTTACCTCGGCCCATCTGGAATCCCTCGAAGAAACGTGGGGCGATAAACTTCTCGCGACAACTTTGCTCAAATTAGGTATCTATCTCGACGAACGATACGTCATCTTTTTCAATGGGGGCCCACCTCGAGCCATAAGAGTTACCGAGGACCGTTTGTGCGCGCCGATCCTCTCTTTCCACAGTTTAACCCCGTCAGAAATGATCAACGTCGGTCGGAGGTTCCAGCATACAGATGAAGTTCTTCTTTGGATCGACTTGTGGGATATCTACGGTGGCCCTTCTCTCGACTCGCCGATCCTCGAGTCAGGCCGGAAGAACTGGGACCACGTTGGAGGCTTGGATGAGTCAACCATGACTGTCAATGACGTCCCAACAGCACAGAAGTGTATTCAGATTTGCCACAACTACGCAAAGTCGTGTCTGGCTTGGACCTGGGAGTCCGAGAAGCGGCTCTGCCATATCAGCAACTGGATGGTACCAGGAGAACGGGCTGAAGGCAAAACCTCGGGAATTAACGTGCCACGCGCGAAAAGTCTGGTTAACATGTGTCGGCCGTGACCGTGATAGACTCGGCTGTCCATGCATGAACTCTCAAAATCGCTCATGATCAAACCGCAAGGCTTCCGCAATAGCAAATGCCGGAATGGTCACTATTAGGTCACAGAAAACCCCATGGCAGTCGACGGGATATTATACTCGACTGCACTGGATCTATCAAGCTGCCAAAGGATGTTTCAGTGGGCGGTGACCAGGTCAAGACAATCGATATAAGCGGGTAGTGACTGTCATACTGCATGAGGTATAACCTAAGTCTACCTATTCATACGATCTGGTCAATCCGTCTCCGTACCATTTGGCAACAAGGGTGAACGGAGGAGTGACTTCGGCCTAGGGCTTATCGGTTGCACCCAGCTGACCTCTTTTTCTTTGCTTTTCTTTCTTTCTTTCTTTCTTTCTTTTTTTTTATTTCTTTTTTATTTTTTTTTAGACGACGTCCTTATAGATGCATCATTCTTTGTGTACATTACCCTCATCCATCGCTGTATATACTTCAGATACTTCTTGCTTTGCTTCAGAGTCTAGACTCAAGCTGATTAGACTATGGAACGTCAATAGAGCCTCAGCATAGCTTACACCACCTTCTCGTCATGATGCCAAGAATCATAATCGTTAGAAGTTACTTCGCAGGCGTCTTGCGAAAACCATATCCGACAATTTACCCCCTTGCATGACTACTGACTATGGTTCATGCCGAGGGCCACGTAGGAAATGGTCGTAACCAGCCGGGCTGTCCATATTTAATTGGTTATGGTAGCAGGCTGCACCACATTCGGGTCCCTTGGCACATACACTAAGCTGTCGATCACCCCCAACAGACCCTGATGGAATCGCGATCAACTTGTCCGGGCACGGGCACTGAACTCAGAGTCGCGTCATTGTTCTCATCGCCTACAGGGAAATAGTGCAGGTTTCTCGTTAACTACATAGACCTTTCCAAGCCCTAAGCGGTTGGACACACTAACATCAATAACCGAGAATCCGATTGATATGAACGGTGGTTGTCTGAATAACTATGACCTGCAGTATTTGAGGCTGGCAGACCACTAATTTACAGAGTTTTGTGTTGGAACGGGATAAAAGGTCGTATTTCACCTCATGGCAGTACCCACTTCTCCAAAGAATTCTTGTACCCCGACCCACTCATGATGTCGAAGATCGATCAAATGCTTTTTCGGGTAATTCATGCTCTCCACAGAGACGATCTTGTCCTAACACGTTATGGCTCTCCCTTCAGGGCCCACTTCCGCGTTGTAGTATGGGGCCACCATTAAGATACCCTTTGTATTGCATAGTTGGCTTTGTTGTCGCTAAGTGTGTATCTGAGAGGGAGGGTGACTGAATGCAGGCGCATAATATATTCTGAATTAGTACTAGGAAATAATTAACTTCTATATTCTACGGAAATTCCTGCGACACCAGCCAGTGACCGAACCAAAATGATACCATTTATTTTGCTAAAGGGAAAGCATTGGTAACATGGAGCAACTGAAAGGCGCCCTCGTATCAAGGAATAAGACTATGTAGGTCAAGGCCTTGAATAAGATCATTCAACGTCCCAAGGAGGGTTTCAAAGGACGAGTTAGCACAACTGTGACAGTAGGTGCGATAACCGGAAGACGGCAAGGTCCACTGTGGCACCGTGAATGACTGTATCTTCTGCACTAAGGCTTTGTGATTCAAACCTGGAAATGGTGCTTTAGGTCTCGGCAAAAGTAGGTCGACTGACCGCATCTCCTTTGTAAGTGCTCCATACATGATTGAGCTGCACTCAAAGCAACAACCTCGAGTACCGCTTAGGAGTGCCTCGCGTCTGTCATAAAGGAGTGTGACCAGGTTATTAATGGCCTCCTCTCTGAATTTATTCATTGCTTCTGTGATCACGTTAGAGATATAACACCTTGACGATCTGTCTACCCTTACCCATAACTCTAACAGGGATTGGGAATCCCAGACCGTTAATCCACCTGTCACCCCAAGACATAACAGTCGACGTTGATTCTTTGAACTGATCTGGCAGTTGGAAAGCCCAAGAGACCCATAACCACCGAAATAGATCCTCGGAATATGTTTTGGGAATCTTTTCCTCCAGAGCGTCGATCCATATAGTTGACCAAATATACACAGCTTCCTTGCAGTCATAGTAGTCAGCTAGGACCGCGACATTGGCAAGCATTGCAAGAGTTAGCTTTCGTGGGACTTGGTATTGTTGGCCATGAATAGCACGAAGGAGAATCAAAAGTGCTTCGAGATCCCAGCCTTCTGCAGTAATCTCGACTGTGCCTTTTTGCAGATACGTAACACTCTCCTTCCATCCACCGGTAAGTATTTTCTTGAAAACGGGGGACGCAAGAATTAGATGCTTTGCGGAGACTTGGATGCTGAAATAATTCTCATCCAGGGGTTCTTGGACAGGCTCTTGGACAGGCTCTTGGA